CACTTTGTCCTAATTGCTAAATTCTACCCCATTTCACCTACTGAATAAGCTAATGGGTTTGTGTAAATGGCTATTTTTCTGAATCTCTGATGGCTACTGGGTTTTGACTATTTTTGTGTAAATGAAGATTGTTTTCTGGATTTGATTGGCTATGACTTCTGGGCAGTGGTGAAGCCTGTTAGATATGAAATTGAAGGCCTGGTAGGGCTGGATATACTTTGGGCCATTCTTAGGCCCACTATAGTTATTCCTATCACTTTGTAATTTATTTCATTACTGAGCCTGTAATAATTCTGTAATAACAATTGGAGTATTAGTAAAATTTGGAAAAAGGGTCTATTCTAATGTTTGCATGAAAGGGTAGAAATCATGCCTATATGGTCTGAGTGTTTAATGTGCTCAATATGCTTTGCTTCGATGTATTCTGATAGATAACATGCCTATAGGACATAAATAATCTCATCTGCTCACATGTCTATTTTCACACATTTTGGACTGCCTATCATACTGCAACACAATAATTATTTATTCACAATATTCATGTAAGATACCATGCCTATAGGATTACACTAAGTAATAAATACCTGCTCTTCATAATGTTCATGTTAGATATCATGCCTATAGGTTACATTGAGTCATAAAAACGTGCTCTTCATAATGTTCATGTTAGATATCATGTCTATAGGATTACATTGAGTCATAAAAACGTGCTCTTCATAATGTTCATGTTAGATATCATGTCTATAGGATTACATTGAGTCATAAATACCTGCTCTTTACAATATTCACGTAGATATCATGCCTATAGGAAAATAATTAAATTAGATGTTATTTCCATTATACTGCCCGCCTAAAAAGCATGAAAGAATAAATAACAAGTTTCAAGCGCTCATTCTTAGAAATCCTGCCTATAGGACTCTATCGCTCACCTAGGAAGTATGTTGACAAAACGCTGGTAATTGAACTATCAAATTGTCTCACTGCCTTATTTTGTAAACAAATTAGGAAGCATACCTATATGATTTGTAATATTTGTCGTGCTAAGACAACAACACTGCCTACATGTTTAAAATTCAGAATCACATAGAAGTCATGCATGTAGGATTTAAGGACCCCATTTCATATTAATTCTGGAACTTGTCACCTTTTTAATGTAAAAAACCTGATTGCGTGCATTTTTTGCTTATATGTGGAGGCCACCTTGAGCCATTTGCTGCCCTTATGTGTACTCCTATGTGTTTTTGAATGTCGCTTAGATTTATCATTTTGAGCCTCCTGAGTGAGTCTAGAGCCACCCAAAATAGAGGTCCAAATGCCTCCTGGTCCATAGGCATGGGACGGGTAGTGCACGCATAAGGTGCGGTTAGAATCAACTAGTGCGCTTAGGTAAAAATAATAAAGATAGTAATCGGGTAGTAGGAGATGATAGTCTGTGTCTGCTGAATAATACGAGTAACACCCCATCTCGAGGGAGTTACAAAGTATTATTTATGTTGCACGGGGTGATCCTTTAGGCTAAAAAATTTAGGACACCCTCTTGTCTTTAAATCAATTATTTGTGTTTATTCGAAGTATTTAATAATGAATTTTCCCAAACTTCTTGGTCTTTGTTTGTCTGACTAGTTCATATAATTTGAGTTCGGTCGGGACCCACAGTGCCTAACACCTTCTCTTCGAGGTAATTGGAGTTCTTACCCGATCTTTGCTGACGCAAACTGGTTAAACTAGTTATTTGCAAATAGGTTCCCTAATGCATCTCAAACCCATTAGGTGGCGACTCTTTTTTTTAACACCTTCCTTAAAAGAGTTGTCACATATCGAAACCCAATTTCTCGATAAAAAAAGGGCACGACACCCCACACCCACAATCCTATTCGTGTCCCTTTTAAGAACTGAATGTCATAACTACTACTTTAAACGTCTGGTATTAAAAGTTTATAGTCGGATTAATTCGCATTCGTGCCATAAAATTCTATTATGGGAGGTCTGAAGATTCCCTACAAAAGAAAAATTCTATTACAAGGTTTAAACCTAAGATCTCTTGTTAAGAGGAAAGAAATTTTACCATTTCACCATACCTTTTAGTAGTAATGTAGTAGCATTATTACTGTTATGCGGTGCCTTCCTGAGATTCCTTGGAAGGGCGACGCAAGGCTAAGCAACTGATGTCAGTGCAGTTACTGTCTGCCAACTGAGGTCCCCTCCATATGCTAGACTAGATTGTCAGTGTCGTACGGGAAAACCAATGTCAAGACCAATTGAGAGAACAGAAATGAGAATTGAGAATGAAAGAAAGCTTGATTGCATTAATGAAAGTTATTGCAACACGGTGTCGAGGGGGAGAGACACTAGTACAGAGAATTGTTTGCTTGCTAGAAAGTGTGATTGCTTGATCCCTCCTAATAATGCTTACAAATATAAACCAAAGCTACAAGACTAGACTTGACTAAGCTAGAGAAACATAATGGAAGTACATGAAATAAAGCTACTCTATATTTACAATGAAAAGGTCTTAGTTTTCTACAAGGAAAAACAGGTCCGTTGTCAGCAGCATTGTCTTTGGCATCATGATCTGCGCGCGTGACATTGTCTGTGTGCACGGCGATGTGTGCTCACGCGGCGCTGTTGGCATGTGCCTGTAGCTTGGCACTGGCGAGGGACATCGGTGGGGCGACAGAGGCACATACGCGCTTGTCACTTGGCGCGGACAAGACCATGGGGACGTCCGTGGTGCTAGGCATTGGGAGGATTACTAGGACACCATGGGGCGCGCCCAAGGGGTCATGGGGCATGGCTGAAAAGCCGCCTATGACATTCTCCCCCACCTGAGTTGGCGACGTCCTCGGCACCTTACTTGCAAGATAATCTTCAATTAGGCTCTTGTAGGCTTTGAGGTTTGTTCCCCTCTCCCAAGTATTCTCCTCTGCATCATAACCCTGCCATTTCACTAAGAACTCTTGGTGTTCTTTCCTTGAGGCATGAATCACTCTATCATCAAGAATAGCTTCAACGTGCCTTTTCCTGGTTAAATTGGGACCTAGAATACTGGGTATTGTGAGATGGCTCCGTGAAGGATCCTCCGTGTCTTCCTGAAAAGGTTTCAAGAGGCTGACATGGAAGACTGGATGGATTTTCCACCAAGGTGGGGTATCCACCTGGTATGTAACTTTACCAATGCGCCTTTCAATGGACAAGGGTCCAATGTATTTTGGCAATAGTCAAGGGTCATGGACCCCCGCAAATAAGTACTGCTTTGGAATTTTGACCATCACTTTGTCTCCTACTTGGTATTCAACAAAGCGACGATTTTGATCAGCATGCCTCTTCATCCGCTTTTGAGCTTTGACTAGATAGCTTCGCACTATCTCCAAATTTCGCTTCCACTCTTTTGAGAAGCTAGAAGCTCGAGGAGATTTAGACATGTTTGGTGCATTCATAGTGTGTGGGAGTAGCGGCTGCTGTCTGGTAACAATTTCAAAAGCACTTTTGTTTGTACTAGAGCTCTTTTGTGAATTGAAACACAGTTGAGCAGCATCCAAAAGCTTCACCCAATTCTTCTGCGATTCGGTTACAAAGTGGCGGAAATATTCCTCCAACATACCATTGAATCGCTCCGTTTGGCCATCAGATTGCGGATGTAAACTTGAGTTGTGACTCAACTTTGACCCAAGGCACTTATAGAGTTGGGTCCAAAAGTTGCTAGTGAAGCGTGAGTCGCGATCACTAACAATGTCTTTGGGCAGGCCCCAATATTTGAGGATATGAGAGAAGAAGAGTCGAGCTGTATCTTCTGCTAATATATATTGTTGGGAGGAAATAAAGGTAACATACTTGGAAAATCGATCTACCACAACCAAGATAGTTGTGAGATCTCCGACCTTGGGCAATCTGGTGATGAAATCCAGGGAAACGCTTTCTCAAGGTCTCTTTGGGACAGCTAATAGTTCCAAGAGTCCTGCTTGTGTCAAGTAGTCCGACTTGTCCTTCTGGCATACCAGACAAGTCTTCACATACTAAGCAACGTCATCGGCCATTTGAGGCCAATAATATGCACGACGAAGCAACGCCAGAGTGCATTCCTCACCGGGATGGTCGGCCCACAGAGTATCATGACATTCCGCTAGAAGAGTCCTTTGCAAATCTCCTCCTTTAGGAACATAAAGTCGGTTCCCTTTCACTTTCAAAAAACCATCTTCCATGTAGAACTGGCGAGTCTTCCCCTGTCCTACTAAATCAACCAAATACTATGCAGCAGGATCCTTGATGAGTAGATCCTGTATCTGGTCCTTGATGGAGGTGGCTACTTCGCTCCCCCTTAGGGTGGCGAGTAGGCACACCAATGCTAGATCAGCTCTCCGACTGAGTGCATCAGCAACATGATTGGTCTTCCCACTTCGGTACTCCAGGTTGAAGTGGAATTCAGCTAGGAGTTCCTGCCACCTGGCCTATCGACTATTCAACTTCGGATGGGTCATGAAATGGCTAACAATTGTGTTGTCTGTCTTGACCACGAATGGGGTCCCCAGCAGATAGTGCCTCTAAAGGTGCAAATAGTAGACGATAGCTAATAATTCTTTCTCATGGGCGGCATAGTGCCGCGCTGCATCCTTCAGCTTCCGGCTCTCGTACGCTACAGGATGTCCTTCTTGTAGCAAGACTCCGCCGAGGGCATAGTCAGACACATCCGTTTGTACTTCGAATGGCTTGGCTAGATCAGGGAGGGCCAAGACGGGGCTACTAGACATAGCCGCTTTTAATGCGTTGAAGGCCTCTGCTCGCCTGGGTCCCCAATCCCAGGGCGTGACCTTCTTGAGAAGTTTTATCAATGGCACTGCAATGAGGGAGTAGTTCTTCACAAATCGCTGGTAGAAATTACATAGGCCAAGGAACACCCTCAAGGCATGGATATCCTTAGGCGGTGGCCCATCTGTAATTGCCTGAATCTTCTGTTGGTCCATCTTGATCCGCCCTTCCCCGATGACATATCCGAGGAAGTCAATTTACTTTTGAGCAAAGGAGAACTTGGATAGCTTTGCATATAGTTCATGCTCCCGCAATCGAGCTAGGACCTTCTGCAAGTGAACCAGGTGTTCTTCCAATGTTTGGCTATATACCACAATGTAATCCAAGTACACCACAACGAATTCGTCAATGTACTCTTGGAAAACTTGGTTCATCAAAGTGAAAAATATAGCTGGGGCGTTAGTCAAGCCGAACGGCATAACCAGGAAGTCGTACGACCCATACCTTGTCTCACAGGTCGTCTTGTGTTCATCACCCTCTGCAATCCGAACTTGCCAATAACATGTCTTCAGGTATATCTTGGTGAATGTCGTCGCACCACCTAGTTTATCGAACAAATCTGCCATTAGCGAAATAGGGTACTTGTTCTTCACTGTGATTTTGTTTAGAGCCCGATAATGCATATAGAGTCGCAGACTGCCATCATGTTTCTTTTAGAATAGAACAGGGGACCCATATGGGTACTTGGAGGGCACAATGATCCCATTATCTAGCATTTCCATAAATTGTCCCCGAAGCTCGGTGAGTTCGGGTTGTGACATTCTGTAAGGTGCTCAGGCGGGTGGCTTCGCGCCCGGCACCAACTCAATTTCATGGTCCACAATGCGCCTAGGCGGGAGTTGCTTTGGCATGTCTTGTGGCCTGACATCTTCAAATTCCAGTAGTAGCTCCTTCATAGGTTCAGGAATGAGACCCGAAGAGCGTTCTATATCTTCAATGCAGAGGGTTGCCAGGAACGTAGGTTCATGTCTTTTGACCCTTCTTTAACTGCAAGGCCGAGATGTTCTCAACGGCCATCTTCATAGGCATGTAGGGATAATGCAGGGCTTGGCCCCATTTTTTTCCATCATCAGTAGCATGTCTGCATATGGTACGGGCATGGTGTTGGGTTGTTGTCACGACCCAAACCGATAGGCCGTGACGGGCACCCGGTACATTACTCAACCGAGTACCAACGTAACGTATCTTTCTTATTACCGCATCATATACACGTGACATACGGGCCTAATAGGCCAACATAATCATTTATCAACTCAAAATATANTCACGTTTCGTTCATATCATATGGATCATTCCAAAAGAAAGAAGGGATAACCTTAACATACCTGGAATAGGAATGACTCCGTATAATTATCCCATTAGAAACCTTCGTGGATTGAACTTAGAACCCAAAAATTGGATTTAGGCCCCTGCGCTTTTGAATTTGAGCAACGAAATTGGCTTGGTATCACTGCCAAAATAACGAAATGGAGCCCAGAATTTGGACGAGACTAGTTCTTGGTTTCCAATGCCAAAGACATTAAACTTAAAGTGAAGCCAAGATTTGGATGAAAGTATTGGGATTTTAAAATACTTGGATTTGTCTAACTAGTTGAATACTTGGACGAAGTGTTCTGTTTTAATATTCTTGGTTTTAAAATCAAGAACAAATTCGTTGGCTTGGAGTTGGACAAGAATGATTTTGTATTCCAAGTTCTTGGTTTCAAACCAAGGAAAATGAATTGAAGTTTTAAATTGTCTAATTAGATAAGACTTTACAAGTCTTACCAAGACTTGACTTTAAGTCTTCATTTAATTTATTCCCATGCAGCCACCTAGAATAATGAC